GAACATGTTTACTTCAGCATCCCCAGAGGGCTGGATCTGGACTACAATCGGATTAAGAGTGACTGTTGGTTTCTTTGGATCGTCACCCTCCGCAATCAATCCAATCGATCCTTTGGGGTCCCAGTCGTCTTCTATCTATATCATATGAACACCTCCCCCTTTGTGGTCAGGCAGAGGGTTGTTGTGGACGTTCGGAGCAGGCTCCTTTGCCACAATGATTTTGTTGTCAATCAAGGTCTGAATCTTGTCCTTCAGGGAGCGGCATTCATCAATGGTATGACCCTTCATGCCGGAATGGTATGCGTAGGTTTTGTTCGGGTTGACCCATTGGGAAGGATTTTCTGGAGTTATGGCAGGGATAGGGGTGGCATAACCAGCAGCTTTGAGCCTTTCATACAGCTGGTCGATTGGTTCGGCGATGGCGGTGTATTGCTTGGTAGGTCTACGGTCGAAGTTAGGGCGCGGTCTAGGGAAGTTTTAGCGGGTGGGAGGTGATTGATAGTGAGAGGGCTGAGCATTATAGGCTTGGTAGACGGGTGCGGGTTTGGAATATTTTGGTGCGGTAGGTTGATATGTGAGAGGTGGAGATGATTGGTAAGTAGGTGGTGGAGCTTGGTAGGAAGGGGGGTGCTTGGTAATTAGGGGTAGGTTGATATGTGAGAGGAGATACTGGGTAGGTTTGGTATTTTATTGGGGATTTTGTTCTCTGTGCAACCATCACGGCACTCACATCCTTTTTCTTGGACGTGCCACCAGACTGTAGAGCCTTGTTGGTAGCCTGCAATGCCTCAAAATTAGTGCCATACCACTTTTAATGCCTTCCTCGATCCTTTCCCCTAGCTTGATAATGTCGGAGAATTTCTGGCCTTCAATCAGCATCAACCTCTCATAATATTGTGAGTCCTGAGCTCGGACGAAAAACCTGTTCATCTATTCTTCTTCTAAGGCCGGCCTGACCTTAGCCGCTTCTGATCTCCAACGAGTAGCATACTCGGGGAATGTCTCTATAGGTTTCTTCTTCAAATTCTGGATATAGAATACATCTGTCGCATTTTCAATATTGAATCTGAACCTGTCCATGAAATCGGACGCCATACCTACCCAGCTTGTCCACTTCTTGGGGTCTTGGCTAATGTACCAAGATAGAGCATCCCCTTTCAAACTTCTCATGAAGAGCTTCATGCGAACCTTTTCATCTCTTCTGACTCCGACCAGCTTATCGCAGTATGTCCTCAAATGGATTCTGGGATCCCCTGTGCCATCAAACATTTCAAACTTGGGAGGTTTGTACCCCTCCGAAAGTTCGACATCTGGCTCAATGCAAAGGTCCTCATAATTCAGCCCCCCGATACCTTTGTTTCCTTCAACACCCTGGACTCAGCTAGTCAGCTTCTTGAGTTCTGCGGCCAGGTTCCTGATGAGAGAGTCTTTGTCATCAGACTCCGGTGTGCTTGAAATAGGTTGAGTATATTGTGGTATGGTTTCCACATAGATGGGGGTGTGGTGGGGATGATCATTTGTGGAGTTTAGTGGTTCAGGAATGAGTAGTGGGGTGTTGTTCGAAATGTGGCATGTGTTGCAGTGGTGATGGGGAGCGGATTGGTTTTGTGGTTTTGGGATGTTTTATGGAGGTGTAGGATTTGGAGCATTGACATCCGGGGTAGTGAGGGAAAATGATAAGTTTTCCAAATTCCGAACTTGGTCCAGTTCTTCCTGAAATTTCAATAACTTTTGTTCAAGCTGGGAGGCACTTTCCTTTGAAACCTGAATACCCTGAGAAGTCTCTACCCTTTCAACCGAGCTCTCTTTCCTGATGTTGCTCAATTCTTCCATTTTTCCCTTGTTCTTGTTTCTGATAGGACTTGGAGGAGGAGGAGGTGGAGGGCCCTTAGATCTTGTGGAGTAGGATGATGATGCCAGAGTGCACGAACTAACCTTTTGGGGAGGGGAATAAAACAAAAGTAAAAACAAAAAGGTAACAAGTTAGTGAAGGATATGAGAAGAAATGTTGCAATATTTACACACATAGTGCAAGAATATAAATCGTGTCCTAACTTGGGTGACTCGTTGTGTCCGAGGTAGGCCTAGCGACAAGTTGATTTGAAGAACTCATAATGCTAAATGACTCATTTTATTGATAAAAATAAGACGAATCCCAAAACGACACTAAAATTGCAGGAAATAAAATGTCACTAATGGCCATTGCCTTATTACATTTAAAGTAGAAAGAAGAGATCCTAACTACTTGGTCCCAGAAGGACCTTCCCCAGACTCGGCATCTTTAGCTCCATCGAACAGCTTCACCAGCTCACGCAGTCCCAGTAGCAAGTAAGCTCTAGCCAAGTGTCCTCCTTCGCTTCCCTCAGCATTCTGGCATTTTCGATCCTTTGGATGAACTTCCTTTCCAATTCTACCAAACCTCGCTCCAAATACCCTAGTCGTTTGTTGGCGCTGACAGCCATATCCTTCCATTCCTCGATCAACTTTTGATGAGCTTCTTGAATTTCCCGGTGTTCATTCTCGTGCTCCTGAATCCTCTTACGCAATTAGTTGTACTTAAACCGTTCCTCAGCCTTTTCATCGACGACCCTGTGACCTCGAGCAAACCCTGGTTGTCCCAAGCCTTCATGATCATCTTCCAGCCAACCTGAGTAGTATGGCAAACAACTGGCATGGTATCTATCCGGCTCAATAGAGTCTCTTCCCAATATGATTTTGCAGTGCCACATGTGCTGAGCTTGGCACTTATGAGGGCTATTGTCATCCTGAAAACCGGCCCTGAAATGACCCATTTTGTCGACCCTTGGTATAACCTGCTTCCTTCCTGCCTGCCTCATGGCTCGGAGAGGGACATAAGGGTAAGTTCCTCTCAGGCCGATGAGAATAAGAAACAGTGCATCCCGAGATCGGACAATGAACTCTTCAGTAGGAAACCATTCGAACATCCACTGCACTTGGTCTTCTTTCAGATTTTCAAACAACTCTACCCATCCTTTAGCGTCTTCTGGTTGAGCGAACATGTTAGGCATATAGTTTATTCGCCTTGGCTGATGGAAGGCGATATGATCATCCCAGTCCCTGTGTAGGATCTCTTGCCGATATTCACCCCTTTGGAGGTGCTCCATGAGCCAGAGTTGGAGTAAGTTACAGCCCTCAAAGTGATTGGCCCCTTGCTGACATTTTTCTAGGGCTCGGTATATCTCTGTGACAATCATTGGTACTATGCTGAAAGGCTGCCCGCCAATCCCTTCCATTAGAGTCTTGGTAACCATGGCCAGTCTGGTATGATCCTAGCCTTCTTCATGGGAAATACTATCATCCCCAAAAAGCAGAATATGAAGATGAAGACTCTTCTGTGGATATGCCCCAATGAGGTGAGGGAAAATTCATCTGGGTAGGTGCGGTAGAACTTGCTATGGTCGTACCTCTTGTATAGATATTCGAAAGGAATGTAAGAGTCCTTCAAACAAGTCAAGTCCGGGTTTTTCTTCAGTCCCATCATCTTGAGGATACCAGCTAACCCTCCTATTTCTTCGAGCAAAGCTAGTGTCCATGCTTTCATTACAATGGGGCGATTGTTGATGGTGTGAGGCCCAGTATATAAAACTTGACTTCTTTCCTCCAAGCTTGCAAATCTAATTACAAAGTAGTCTTCATTATGATAATAGATCTGAGGTTTCATGGAGAACTTACCCACAGAATTAAGGAATCGTTCTATTGCTCCTATGGATGGTAAATCCCCAAGTACATACAATACAAGTGCTGTGCTCCATTTTGCATTTTCCTGCTCAACATCCTCTAGATCTAATTTCACAATTTTCCCCATCTTGAATCATTGGTGCAATATATTGAAGATTCATTCCTCTCTATGCCAACTTATTCGCTGCTACAACATTTTTCCATGACTGAATTTCACTTGCCTTCTCCATTTGTTCAGTACCTTTGAGATTTTCAGCCTTATCAGTGTTGCATGGCACTGTTACATTGCTATTTGGTGTAGTAGAGTTCATCTCTGTCTTTCCGCTCCCAGATCCACGATCTATTCCACTACTAGCTACAGGCGTAGCTATCACTGCTTTCAGCTTGCCATCGTTGATTGCTGGATCTGATTCTAGCCTGCTCTGCTCACTTATCATGCTCCTCGGAGTGTTGTTTCCTGTTGGTTCCTCAATTCTCACCCCTTTCGGTGAGACAAAAAGTTCCATTACTGCCTTCGTTGCATCTGCTGATCTCGGATCAGTAGTCGGAATATTTGTTAGATTCCGTTTAGGTCGTCATCTTCCTCCCATGGCTTCCAGCTGCATACGCTAGCAAAGCCACGTTAGCATGCGCCGAGAGAAACGTGGAAGAAAGCTTAGCAAGTCACTATTTGTCTACATATATAATTGTCTAAAACTTACAGATAATCAGATCTCTCGACTAATATCCTTCAGATCTCTTGACTAATATCCTTAACTCAGTATTGTACATTGATCCTTATTGTACATTGATCCTCAGCAGGAAACGTTAGTTGGTCGCTTTGATAGGCCATCACCCATTTACTGATTGCATGTTACTAAGTTTGTGCTTTCACAATTTATTTGGTCTAAATAATTGCTATTGACAGCTTGGGACAAATGTCTATTTCGTCAAAAAATTACATATGTAATGTACACTAATAAAAACAGTAGCAACTTGAGGTAAGTAGATAATACTCTATATACACAATAACGCGGGCCATGACTTTTATCACTTGAATGATTCATCAACAAAAAGCCTTTTTGATTTCTTCTATAAACATTAACTAATGCATGTTCATAAATACTTATTCCACCAAAGAGAATGGCAACTACCAAAGATGCCCAATGTCCCATTGTTCAAGTCAGAAGGGATCTAGCCTTCTACATAATGTAAAAACATATACTGCGCCCCAACATCTCATCCCCATTCTAGACTTTAGGTTAAACAAGTAGCTGCAGCTGTCCACATATGACATCAGTAATTATTTATTCAAGACATGGTCATGCAAGAGCATACTTAAAAAAAAAATTGTGCATTGACTGATAAAATAGACCAATGAGAATAGAGAACAGAAAAATAACGATTAAGTTTGCTCGATCATTGAGTTGCCTCCACCACCGAGTAGGTTGGAGGTTTGAATTATACGGAGGGAGGAAGCACTACCGCACAGGGTGACAGAAATAATTCTTTTCATTTATGCCAAATAATGTAAAGTACTTTCTATATTTTCATTTATGCCAAACAATGTAAAGTACTTCTTTGCCAGCAAACCGAACGTTGAGAGTGGCATGCAAAATCAACCCGAAGTTTTGTCCCCACCAAAACCTGAGTCCAGAAATCCTGTCTTGTTGAGATGACTTATATCGGCCCAGAGTTTAATAGTCCACTCATCCTTATCAGACAAGTGAAGTATACCGACAGATGTATTCCAGATCTTACTTTTAGACCGCCTATGCGGGGAAGCCCGCCTGTGAAGTGCTCTGATTGCACCCCCATGAGATACCACGACGACTCGTTTTCCTACATGGTAAATACACATTTCATATGAAAAAAAAAATCATCTTTGTGATGTATCACTCTTTTATCAATCCAATAGTTAAAAGAATACCTCTGTGCTTCTTTGCAATCCTCTGTAAACAAGAAGTGCAGCGTTGATAAAGTTGATCTAAACTTTCTCCTCCTCCCTGCAAATAAGTTGTGGGAGAATTGAATACATGCAAACCCTTCATAAGACAGACTAGATCATGCAATCTATGTTCCTTCCCCTCTTTTTTCATTTTTTACCTTGGGAGTGGGTACTCGATCCTATGCACTAGGAATCCAGATTCTAACTTGGTTCCACCTCTGGCAGTTAACACTTACATTTGATGATGGATTTTAGGTTGATTTGCCAATTTAGAGCTCATATTTGTTACATTTATATGTGACGAAGCAGATCGGATTGCCAAAAAGAAGAAATAAAGAAAGAAGCAAATTGAAGAAAGCACATATTTAGTATGACTACAAGTTTATTCAAATGAATAAGGATAAAGCTGATCATGGCAGTAATAGTAAAAGGAGAAAAGGACTACTCACTGGAATTACTTGGTCACTCCGGTCAGATAGAAAAGCCTTATAAGCCATCGGTTGGCTTTGGGCTGCTTCACGGAGAGAAATACCTTGAAGATCTCCTAGATGTCTCTCTCGAAGGTCTGGATCTTTAATGACCTATATTAAGCACAAACCGAGACATAAAAGTAATTATTTTACTCCAATATGTTTGGTAGTCAGCTTTATCTGAGATTACATACAGCTATAAAACCCTCAACACCTCCCCCTCTCCCTCCCTCATATCCATGCATTGCATCTGTTCCACAAAGCTTGTTAACATTGTTGATGAGCTTATATTGCCTCCCGAATCTAAGCTTGACTGAATCAGAAGATAGACTCATACCATAGATTTGAATATCAACTACACAGAGCCCTAACCCTTTCTTGGCCTCTTAAGCATATTTCACCTCATATTATTGCATGCTATTTTCGAGTTAATGTCCATCTATGGAACTATGGAAGACCTTCTTACTAAGAGGCTAAGAGCTATATCATACAATTCCTTAGCGCATATAGAGAACATCAATGGACAACAACACATAACGGAATCACTGAACTGCTCTGCTCATGCTCATAACAATCACATTAACAAGAAAAAGAAGTGAAGCAACAATTGCTTAGTTGTGATGGCTTCACTGAAAAGGTAAAGCTACATACTAAAATGTCAAGAAAAGGTGAAAGTTAAAAGCAGGAGGAATTCCACAACAAAAGTCTCTAAACAGTGGAAACAGAGCTGACACCACAGGTTCATTACTGGGAAAAACAAGAGTATTCAGGAAAAATATAGTTCGAAAACAAATGATAATAGAAAGTGATTTTGAAAGTAAAATAGATATCATGAAACAATTGCTGCAAACTTTCTTCCATATACTAACTAATAAGTTAAAGAACTTGCAGAAGTTTCTCATTTATTGCATTATCCAATTGAGTAACAAAACCAAAAATACACAATCAGACATGATGTGAAAGCTACGGTGAATTTGAATTTATATCTCTAATCTCAATTCTGACAATGCATTTTTATAGTGAATTCATACCTCTAGACCCCCACAACTCCTTGCTATTGTCTCTGCTGTCTCATGTGCCCGTTTCAAGTCAGATGAATATATGGCAGAGATCCTTGGCTCCCTAGAGAGCCGGGCTGCCACCTTCAAGAAATTAACTTCAGGCATTGCACCAAAACCCCAAAAATGAAAATGAAAAATGAAATGAAATAAAGAAAAGGTTGAAGTTCATATAACTCCCTTAAAAGCTTTTAAGCTGGGAAACCGTAACATCCCAAGCCCCAACCCCCACCTCCAATCCCCATCATGAAAACAAAGAAAATGATAAAGGGAAATGGATTATCTCACTTAACTTCTGTTGAACAGCCAGCATAGTTGTATCTGAGGACTCAAATCTTTTCACAATCACATTAATACAAGTTCATTACTCATATTGTTCATAAAGAGGTGAGAAAAACATACCTACGCCCACTAATGGAGGCAAAGATTGGCAGCAAAAGGATAGACATAGAAAAGGGGAAACAAATTTGGTACTTAAGCCAAGCGTGAAGCCATAACACCTTTCTTCTCTTTCAAATTCATATATCTTACAAAAGATGCAGAAGTGTCCATCTCAAAAAATTATACATCCCAACAGTTCAAAGCATTTAAGTGAAATAACAAACAAATACTGTCCTACAGTGACTTACCGCCATAGCTTGCTGCCTCCCGCTGTCGTTTAATTCGACATCTAAATGCCCCTGGTTAAAGATGAAACAAGTATCAGTTATCGCATCCTTTCGTCATGATCCATATATTGTTATAGGATTTACCATAAAAGACTAAATGCTGACAATTTACAAGAAGTTCAAGTGAATACGATTTGTCCCATAGAATCATACACCAACAGGGAGAGTATTACTTAACATATTGCACCCAATGATCAAGGACTTTCAACCACCTTAGATGTGGGTTTTTAAAAAAAATTCTATCCGTATTTCCTCTGGTTTTACATTATGCCATTTATGCTTTATGAGGTTGTACTCTTTTTTTTTTTTTATTTGCACCGGGTGTCCGAGTCTCTAAGAGCCCCGACTAATCCCAGGGGTGCACAGGCCCTCGGCAAGGAGTTTCCCGCAAGTGCACCACGGTTAATTCAGGTTTTACCCAGTCCGATGGCCCTCAGAAATTGTTTGCACCCAGTGGGTTTCGAACTTGAGACCTTGAAAGGCAGCAAACCCCAAGGCTCAAGTCTATTGCCACCGGGCCAAGCCCTGAGGGTTGCTTTATGAGGTTGTACTTTATCATCTACAATCTTTAAGAAAAACATTGCACCATTGACATCTTCCCATTAAAACACTGACACAGTTATCAAATTGCAGCTATCTGGCTAAAACATGTGTAGCTACCCTAAAAAGAATGGTTCCCCTGTCACAGCTTTTACTGAATGACCTTCAGTCTTCCACCTTTTCACGCCCTTTCTGAGGCAAGTGGGGCTTATGTGTTTCTGGGCAGTGTTCTGGGTGGAATATTGGACATGGTGAAGTACATATCCTTTACATTGCCAATATATATAGCAAAGTAAGGAATATCTTTTTCGAAAAAATGGAACCATAGTACAAATTTTTAATTCTTCGATAATAAAGAAAGGAAACATTCTACACCTAAAGTGTCAACTAATATAAATAATTAACACAACTACTGTAGGTTTACAATTTTCTGCAGGTCATATAAAGAAACTTGAATGATAAAAGTAAAAACAATATACTTAAGTCTAATTAAAAGGTAAATGTACTATATTTTTCACTTTTATATAAATAAGCAAGGTGATTGTTGGTATTTTATAATGGTGAGGTAACATGTCCGAGTTGTTCCTCAAAGGAAGTTAATGCTGTAAAGGTCTTTGAAATGAAATTGAATAATTAGTGTAATCTCAAAATTAAATGAGTGTCTTCATATTTAGAGCAAATTGCTTTATTTATGGGCTTATGTAAAACGAAACTAATATATCCTCTATGCTCAGATCTGATCCTTCATGTACGATGTACCAATCTCAATGAGGTTTTCAAATAAACCGGTTATCATTCCCAGCGAACTAGGACATTTAAGTCTTATATATGAGTTAGAGGAGAAGAAACAAGGCAGCTCAAAATTAGCGAGAAGATCTCTCAAAAATGTTAAAACAAGAGCACATGGTAGATAATTTTGCTAAAATTTATCACCTCACATATATTTTGCAATATGAAGGATTCCAATCACTGGAATGCAATTGTTTTGCCGAAAAACTATAATATGATGTGAATATATATATATATAAGGAATGAAAAACGTGGTCACATTTACGAAAAGAAAAATATAAACACTTAGTCCCTTATGTTTATTAATAAGAGCAATTGCATAGCATTTCATCTATCTTTTCCCAACCAATTCTGAGGTGATCTAGGAGCTCATTCTCCAAAGATCATGTAATCGTCACATGGATGTAAATGAGGATGAAGTCGGTATCTTAATAGTTCGAAAGAACCCCTTGCCACATCCCTGATGCAAATCCATACCAATCTCTGGTGATGGAAAATGATAATTAAATGTATTAACTATTGCAATTGAGAAATGAGGTACAGAGGTGAAAACTAGATATGAGCAAAACTATACAAAGAGCCATGGAGGTACAAGTTGATCTTTTAGATTACATTTACAAATAATGGACTGCATGTGAAACCTTTTCAATATTTTGAAATGTCTTTTTATTTGCATACATTCACATGTTTTCTGTAAACATTTTCTGGCGAACATAAATTTTGGTAGTCAAAATTCCTCAATGTGATTCCAAAATATAGATGATGGACTAAATACGAGCAACAACGACAATAGAGACTAAACATTCTTGTTTTCTTTTTTTTTTGAATAAAGTAACATTAGATTAAGCACTCTATTTTGCTATGACAATTGTAACAAACTAGATGGACGCTAGCTTGAAAGGAGTTTTCTAGATTAGAAATACTCCAAAATCAAGATACTTCCCCTATCACACTTTATGTAGCAGACTTTTCATTTTAGAATGTTCCAAAAACACGGACACATTTTCGTATTTAGAAACAATTTAACTTTAAAGTTCTCATTTTACCTTTAATGAGGTAATTTATAGCTACAGATATGTCCATGGCTTGTTTTAAACCCGTTACCAGTCAAACAAGGCCTTATAAAATGGAACGGAGGGAATATAACGTTTTGCATGCCACTTTTGTTGTGCATAGATCCCTAAAATTTTAAGAAAATACAATTCCAGATAGAAAAAGTCAGACACATTAGCAAAGAAAAGACAGCAGAAAGCTAAAGCGGGGCAGGAAATGACCTGAATTCTGCCATCGGCATTCCATTCCGTTTCACCGTGACGGATTACTATAATTTCAGTCAAATTAGAACTCACATTTTCAGATTTAGCATCTCCGCCACACTCAGGCTGCGGTACAACCCTGCTTAAGACACTTGCAGAATCAATTTCAATCAGGAAAAAGCTAGAAGATAAACAAACAACACACGACGATAAATATATATAAATATTATTTTTAAAATCTTTAAATTTCCTCTATACATATATATTAGGAAAGTAGAGGCACGCGCATCAATTGCTTATATGTATTTTGAGCACGAGACACTAGGTGCAAGTGCATCAACTGCTTATATACAGAGGTACAGCAAAGTAAAACAAAAAGAAAGGTAAACAATGTAATTGCAGACCTAGAAGTAGAATCAGCCATAGGAGTACTGGAAATGTGAGTGAGATGAGGGACCGAATTGAATCTCGAAGCTGGTCTGAGTATATACTTAGAAATTGCAGCACTTTGTAAATATTTTGAGAAACAAAAATTCACGGGCTTACCGGTCTGAGAATGGCGGAGATTCTCAGGTTTTAGTGATCCAGTCAATGTGCGTAATAAGGTCATCTCCATGTGTCGAGGATTTGTATTCCTGCTATTCCTGAAAATAGCAAAATTGGATGGGCTTACTGATTTGGGCCATCCAAATATCAGTAAATTGGTCCAAAACTTCCGATGGGCTGATAGTCAATGTTCAATAATGAAGTCAAAATAGCATAGCATGCATAGCCATTTTCCGGGTAGTTATTGAAAAATATTGCAAATTTATTGAAAAGTAACCATTATTTAAGGCGGAGATAAAATCAGGACAAAAGTACTCTAGCTTCAACACGAAAAGTTCCACCAACAAAGGTTGTGGTGGAGTGGTAAGTATTCCTTCATCCTTAACTAGAGGTCTCGGGTTCGAGCCCAGATATGGAGTCGCCTTTATTAGGGAGCGCTTTACCCCCAATGTGGGACTTTCCGGCGCGAATTCGAATTTAGTCGAACCCCAATACGGGTACCGTACAACGGATGGAAAACCAACAAAAAAAACACGAAAAGTTTCAGCACAATATGCTGGATTATGGAACTCCTGTGTATAAACTTCTAGTATATTGTGTTGGAACTCCGACACATTATGAATTCTAGCACATTATGCTAGAAATTCATATGTAAAAAATTCGAACTCCAACATATTATACTGGAACTTTTTCGAATTTTTTAAAGGTACTTTTATTCAGATTTTATTTTCGCATGAAAGAGTGACTAAATTTCGATTATTTTTTAAACTATAGCTAATTTCAATTAGCAGTTGTAAATCATACTATTTCTGATTTTTTTTCCAATAATGTAGGACTTATTGTTTTTAAATTTGATTTTTTGTTTTATATAATATTAGCTTTGCTTTTGTTTTTCGAGAATCGTTTTTGGGTCTGTTATTTTAAGTATCACTTAAATCATTCTTTTTATATTTATCTATACTATATTAAAAGCACGAAGGCCCTTAGCGAAATGTCGTTCGCCTTTTTTACCCTTTTAAAATAGAGTTCACACTGGACAAAATAGTCTTTTAATATATAACCTAATATTTAGGGATATTAATTAAATTATTTCTCTAATATTTAGGAATAGTCATAATTATTTCCTAATATATAGGATTACAAAAACAATTAAAGTTTATTGATTAAATTTTTCCATATTCGAACTATGTACAAACTTATATAATTAAAATTTTGAAATCGACTAAGAGTTTAGTTATATAATTTAGTTCCTTCTAGAATTTATTACTTCAACATCAAATATTTAACCAATAATTGTAATTCAATTACTAAAGCACGCTTTTGACTTAGATGTTTTCTTACCAAATACTCAAGTAGAACTTTTCACTCTTATTCTCAAGTGCCGTATTTTGTAACTTAAAGACTAAAACAAATTGAAAATAAATTTCATTTAAAGAGTTTATTTGATGGCAAATAAAAGAAAGATGGACATTACTTTAAAACGGAAGGGAACACATTTTTGTCCAAAATAGCATGAAGATTCACGTTTCTTTTTCTTAATATAATATTTTCTCTCTTATATTTTGATTAAATTAAGTAACATCATATCTTATTTACTATGGAAGATGTGTTATTCTCAATTTCTTAATAGTTATACAAAGTTAAATCAGGATATTATCAGTTGGAAAGCATTTATAGTGAAATTTAGTTTATTTTGAACTATTTTCTTATTTACATATCTATCTATATCTATGTCTATACCTATAATTATATCAATATTTATATATCTATCTATACTATATTAAAAACACAAAGCCCTTAGTGAAATATCATTTTCCTTTTTTATTCTTCGTAAGTGCATTTTAAGTTGGACAAAATTGTAAATACAAATAAAATTTATTTTTAGACAATTCAAAATTGCATATGGCAAAAAAGGAAAAAGAAGAAGAGAACAAGTGAGAAACTCCTTTTTCAATTAATATATCCCAAACAAATATGATTTTCATTGGTTTAAAAGGGAAAAAAGAACCGAAAATTTAATATTTAATTTCCCTATTAAAGCCAAGTCAAATTATCGTAGGTTCAAACAGAAAAAGAAGAAGAGATAATAAGCAGGAAACTATTATTTAATATCATTCATCAACCTAATTCGTTTTTGGGTGAAATTCTTAAATTAGAATTTTAAAACTAAAATTATAAATCTCTTAAATTGCATGTTTGAATATTGAAATCGGGAAGGAAGAATGATAATTTTTGAATTTGGAGTGATGAAATTATAAAACTAAAATATGTTTATAATTGAATATATTAACATAATCAACATTTATCATTTTCAGAAGCATATACTTTTATTTTATAAACTAGTATCTGTACCCGTGCGTTGCACGGGGAATTTAAATATAATTTTTTATAAGAAATATCACTTGAGAAATACTGTAGACATAAAACAGCATGTAAATGCAATATTTTATGAACATGTAAATGTACTGGATATTCATACATTCAAGTCATAAGGAAACACATGTATCCATTAGAAAATAGCTAGTGAGGAAAGCATTTATAAAATCTTAGATGATTGACCATATTTTAATTCTCAGACAAATATATTAGCGCCATTTGAGAAAGGCCACTTCTACTACACGATATGTTGTACATATTAACAAAGTTCCTCTTAAAGGCACATAATAGAATCTTCCTTTGACCGTCAAGCATTAATGGAATAGATCTATGAAGGACAGCCATTGAAAACAAAATAAGTTCTTTGTTAACAAATTCAATATATGAGATATACCTTTCTTTCTGGTCTAGATAGGTGCTAGGCTGCATAAAAATAGAGAATGATGAGTCAAATTAGGAAATTTTGAATGTATGCTAATCAAGCTAAATAAAAGTATTATTAGTGTCATACTCAAGTTGTCTAAGCCAATTCTTCCTTGTTTTTATCTACTTCTGACCGAAAGCAAGCTCTGTAGATTCTCCATCTTAGTTACCTGCCCAGATAATCTTTCTTGTGTTTCTTTACACAAAGAAACAAATAAGAAGAAATAGAGGAAAACACAAAAGAAGAATGTGAAAAGAGAAGGAACAGGGAAGTAACATTTACACTTTCCAAAGCAACCGTTACAATTACTATGAAGATAAAACAAAAGCACAAATTAGAAGCAATAGGGAAGAAGATGTTTATGTAAAAGAACAATGATGATGCAAACGGCAAAAATCAATATAACTACAGAAGCCCCAAGATGAAAAAGTTGGATAAGAAAGCTTCTAGCTTTAGAGCGTATTCACTGGTAAATTTCTTCTCCTTTGTTGATTTTTCTCTTCCTTGAGTGCCATTGTAATTGAAACCTAGGGCGTTTGGAACTGAAAACTTATGCATTTAGTTGAAACAGCAAGTGAAGACATGAAAGATTTGGCTTAAAACTGTACTTAAAAAGATTGTAACCGTTGCTTTGTGTATCTCCTTATTATTAGGAGTTGTAACTGCAATGGAACGTGAACTTTTAAGATCATTCTTATTCTTATTCTATGGGAGTCAAAGTTGATGCTACTCTTTCGTATGAAGTTTTCAAGTTAACTGTAACCATGAGAAGTTGTGTCTGACCATGAAACTAATATGTTAGAGACCATAGTATTTCGGCCTTATTAGTTTCTTTCCCTTATTTTTTATTTTTTTAAAATGATATTAAGGTTATTTAGTTTAAAAAAATATATTTAAGCTATTTAGAAAGGTGTTGTGGTAATTTAACTTTTAACTTTTAAGGTTCACACTTTTATAATAATATAGATATAACAACAACAACAACCCAGTATAATCCCACAAGTGGGGTCTGAGGAGGGTAATATGTATGCAGACCTTACCCCTACCCTGAGGGGCAGGGAGGCTGTTTCCAGAAATAATAATATAGATATAGATAATAACTTTTAACTTTTAAATTTTGAGGTTCCAACTTTTGTAGTAATATAAATATAGATATAAATGGATAAAGTAATTAAGCCCTAATAATATTTTTGAATTGAGGCGTAGTTGTTATCTTAAATCATTATCAATGATGAATATTAGTAATATTACTGGGTAAATTATTTTAAATAACAAATTCAGAATCTACACATTTTGTGTGCAAACACAAAGCTGATTATGTAATTCATCACGACAAATATTTTTTGCCCATGGCATCATCTACCGTCTCAGACAACACTGTTCCAATCAAGAAAAGCCCCCCTAAGGATTAAAAAAAGTTGTAAGTATTCCTAACTTGGTTATCTGACGATACTATATAGGAAATGTTGACCAAATGGCTTTTTAATTCAAGGTTATGATAATTAATTTAAAACAAAAATGATAAAAAAACGTGAGATTCAATCTTGATGTTAAATGAATAGGAAGGTTTAAATTTTGGAACTGATTTTCTATTTTAAATTATTTTTTGAATCTCCAAATTTGTAGCTTGTCCTAAAATTGGACACTTGTAGATTTTTTATTTTGACACTTGTCATTCTATCCTTGTTTTGCCTCTCCTATTATATATAGATAGATTAAATATAATATTTTAATATTCTTTTTTTTCATTGAGATAGTGTACACGCGCAACGCGCGTATCATAAGACTAGTAATATTTTAAAAGTATCACCCCTAATGCCAACCAACCTTTTCTTTTGTTTAATTCATCGGTTTATAATTTAAGTAGAAAAAAAATAAAAAATAACTAAACATAAATCTTGTATTTTATTTATAGAACTGGTATGTATTTTTTTACCAATTTCATGTGAAATTGTCATATAATGAAAATAATATTTGTAGTGGATTCTGTCAATTTTATTTCATATGTTAGAGCAACTAGTCAAACTTCTTGAGCAGCCGAGATATTGAACAACGAACATTTGAAACAATTCCTTGTCTCGGGCATGGGACTTTTGGGCATTGCTTGGGCTGAGTGTTGTATGGCTACCTAGTGATCATTATTTGAGAAATAAGATAGGGTTTTTCGACTATTTCAAATATTTTATAAAATAATTTTGTTACAAAAAATTGTTATTTAGAGTTCTTTTATGTAATTTTCACGTTTACATTTTTTAAACTCTAAAAATCA